AGGGAGAGACGGTTCTGTGCCGGCCCGGAGAGCGGAGAAGAGAAGGAGTCGAGATGAGGACGAAGTGCGACCGGGGATCGCAGGGCGGAAGAGAGAGCGCCTCCGTCTGTGCGAGAGGGAAGCAGAGAGGAGAGAGAAGAGAGCAAGGAGGAACAGCTTTCCAATAACAATACTCGTAAACATATGCAGGTAAAATCACATACATTCGTCACTCCAAATGGCAGTGCCTGGAGTGAGACCATAGTAGTAAAATGTACGATCCCACCGTTGAGAAAGGAAGAAAGTCCGGAGTCCAGAAGAAAAAGTGAGTAGACCATAGCTATTTTCTTCCTATTTCTTTCATTTCTGAATTAGCTGATTGTTTGATGAACTGATTGGTTGTTATATATAGAGAGGAAGCCATATAAATCAGACTAGATCAAAGGAGAATATTTTTGTATCTAAATATAACCGTACTGAATGGTAAAGATACTTCTGTGGCTAAATGTAGACTATTGAGAAGGAGATAAGGATTGAGATGGAGAGAGGTAGGTAGGCAGTAGACAGAAAGTAGATAGCATGAGAAAGGGAGTTTTAATATAATATATATATATTATATAATATATATATATATATATATAATATATACATATATATGTTATATGTTATAATATACATATTATATATATATATATATATATATATATATATATATATATATAATATATATATATATATATATATATATATATATATATATATATATAATATATATATATATATATATATATATATATATATATATATATATATATATATATATATATATATATATATATATATATATATATATATATATATATATATATATATATAATATATATATATATATATATAAATAAGTATAGAGAGAAAGAGAAAGAGGAAAGAGAAAGAGAGAATGAGGAAGAGAGAGAGAGAGAGAGAGAGAGAGAGAGAGAGAGAGAGGGAGAGAGAGAGAGAGAGAGGAGAGAGAGAGAGAGAGAGAGAGAGAGAGAGAGAGAGAGAGAGAGAGAGAGAGAGAGAGAGAGAGAGAGAGAGAGAGAGAGAGAACAGAGAGAGAGAGAGAGAGAAAGAGAGAGAGAGAGAGACGAGAGAGAGAGAGAGAGGAGAGAGAGAGGAGAGAGAGAAGAGAGAGAGAGAGAGAGAGAGAGAGAGAGAGAGAGAGAGAGAGAGAGAGAGAGAAGCTGTATAAATGTGGGAATCATAGCTGTACGTTTTGTGGTAAGATGAATGTGCTTGTTAGTGAAAAAGTGAGACAGAGACTGATGAGAAATGAGGGAGACTAAAAGATAATGAAGTAGACTCAGAGAGCGCGAAAGAGGCTGAGAGGAAACATTAGGATGAGGGAGAGAGAGAGGGAGATGAGGGAATGAGGGAGACTAAAGGTAAAAAAAGGGAGATTGAGAGAGATCGGGAGCTTATGAGGGAGATCGAAAAGGGAAGAGGGAAATCGAAAAAGAAGGAGAGAGACTGAAGGAGAAGAAGAGAGACTGAGGTAGACTGAAGGGGAAGAAAGGAAACATAGGAGGGAGACCGAAGGAGAAAGAGGGAGATCGAAATAAAAGGAAGGAGACTGAAGGACACCGAGAGAAAGTGAGGAAGATGAAGACGACCGAAGGAAAATGAGGGAGACACAAAAAAGAACGAAGAAGAGCGAAACAGACCAAAGCGAGAATCAGGGGGAAACTAAAAGAACCTGGAAGAGAAGAGAGAGAGAGAGAGAGAAGAGAGAAGAGAGAGAGAGAGAGAGAGAGAGAGAGAGAGAGATAGAGAAGAGAGAGAGAGAGAGAGAGAGAGAGAGAGAGAGAGAGAGAGATGACGATAGTCAATAAAAAAAAAAAAAAAAAACAAAAAAAAAAACAATAGGAGAAGAAAAGAAACAGAGAGACAATTTAGTAAAATATGAGGGAGAAATAAGAAAGACGGAGAAAGACCGAGAGAAAGTGCAATCGACGAGGTTTTCCCCTCCACCCCCACCCCCACCCCACCCCCCCTTTTGACGGAGACAAAAGGAGGCCCATTTGTGTCCTGTCAACTAGGACGCTGGGACTCCTCTCTCGCTCCTCTCTGCCTTGAGGGAGAGAGGAGGGGGAGGGGGGAGGGGAGGGAAGGGAGAGGGAAATGGTTGGGGGGGAGGGAGGGGTTGGGAAAGGGGAGAGGGAAGGGGAGGGGAGAGGGAAGCGGTGGAGAGAGACGGAGAGGGAAGCGGGAGGAGGGTTGGGAAGGGAGAGGGAGGTGAGGGAGGGGAAGTAGTGGGGAGAGAGGGAGGGGGAAGGGAGAAGGGAGGGGGAGGGGAGGGAGGGAAGTGGGGAAGGGGGTTGGGAAGGGGAGAGGAAGAGGTGGGGAGGAGAGAAGGGGAGAGGAAGTGGTGGGGAGGGAGGGGAAGGGGATGGAAGTGGTGGGGAGAAGAAAGTGGTGGGGAGGGGGGGAAGGGGGAGGGAGGGGAGTGGGAGAAGGCGGGTAGGGATGATGGGGAAGGGAAGGGCGAGGGAAGCGGGGAGGGGAGAAGGAAGGTGGGGTGAGACGGAAAGGGAAGTGGTGGGGGAGGGAGGGGAGGGGGTAGGGATGATGGGTAAGGGGTGGGATAAGGGAATGAGGTAAGGGGAGAGGAAAGAGGTGGAATGAGAAGGAAGTGGGGTAGGGATGAAGGGGAGGAGAGAGAGGAAGGATGGTGGGGTTAGGGGAGGGGAGAGGGAAGGGGCATGGGTGAAATGGAGGAGAAGAGGGAAGTGGGGAGGGGAGAGGGAAAGTAAGGAAGCGACAGGGAAGGAAAGAGGAGGGAAGGGAGGGGAAGGGGAAGGGGGAGGGGGAGGGGAAGGGGGAGGGGAGGGGGGAGGGAGGGGTAACGGGGAGGGGGAGGGGAAGAGGGAGGGAGAAGGCGAAGGGAGGTGAAAGTGAGGGGAAGGTGGAGGACAGAATGATGAAGGAGGGAGAAGAAGGAAGGAGGGAGGGGAGAGGGGCAGAGTAGGACAGGAAGAACGAAGGCCTAATTTGTTGCCATCAAGTGGGGGGAGGGGGGAGGGGAGGGGGATGAGATGAGAGACTGAAAGAGACCGAGAGAGAATGAGGGAAACTAAGAGAAAGCACAAGAAAATGAGGGAGACTGAAAGAAATGGAAGGAGAGAGAGAGGGAGACCGATAAACCATGAGAGAAAGCGATATTTGAGGTAGACCGATAAACAATGAGCGAGATGACCGATAGACAGTGAAGGAAGCTGATAGATAATGTGCGGCAAGAAGGACACCGAGAGGAAGGAGGAGATAAGAAGGACAAGAATAAGAGGCGTATATATCTTTCTTTTTTTTCCTTCTTCCCTTTCTCTTTCTTTTCGTTCTGTGTTATTTTCACTTCGGAACGCCTCTGATTTTTCGGATTTTTATCATCACTTTCCATCTCCCTCGTTCGTGATTTATTTCGCTTCCTCTCTGCGTCTCTCCTTTTTATTGGTTTATTTGTCTTTTCTACTTTGTCTCCTTTTCCTTTTTTTATTAAAATTATCTCTCTGTCGTTTTCTCTCTTTTGTTTATGTTTTCTCTTTTATTTTCTTTCTCTATATCTCTCTTCTAGTCTCTTTCATGCTCCGTCTGTCTGTCTCTTTTTCTCTATATCTTATTTTCTTTCTTACTCCCTCTCTTCCTCTCTCTCTCTTTCCTTCATACCCCTCCTTCCGTTCTTCTCTCTACCCTTCGTCTCTCTCTCTCTCTCTCTCTTTCCCCTCCCTATCTCTCTTCCTCCTCCCTCACTGTCACAATCTTTCTCCCCATTTCCTTCCTTCCTTATCTAATTATTTCCCCTAATCTCTATAATATTTCCTCCCCACCTTCTTCCTCCCAACCCGAAGAAACCAGAGAAAAGAGAGAGAGAAAGCGAGAGAAGAAAACAAGAAAGAAAGAAGGAAGAAAGGAACAAGGAACTGTCAGCCACAAGACAAGCGAGAGCGAGCTGACAAACAAAAGTCCTGACACCGGCAGAATTTTCCTCCTTGCGCTGACTTTCTGCCCTCGGAAATTAGTCCAAAAAATAATATCGACCATCTTTAACGCGGAAGATGCCAAGGGGACGGGAGGGATTTGCGGAGGGCGTCGAGGGCGGTGGGAGTGGGCGGGGGGGAGGGGATGGGTAGGGTAGGGGGGGCGGAGTTTCATTGCCCTTTGTGAGTTATCGGATTGGATACCTTTTATTTTTTCTATTATTATTATCATTTTCTTATATTAGTTTATTGAGTTTACATTCATATGCATTCACATTCCTGCAAGAATAATTGGCTTTACTCTTCAACCTTCAACACTCAGGCTAATCATATATGCATTATAAAAAAAAAGAAGAAAGAAAAAGAAAAGAAAAAAATTTTACAAACATCGTAGCTGCTCATGAAGGTCCTTCCAAATTATAATGATTCCACTGATGGGCGAAAAGAAACAAGCTTACATTTATTGATCCCTTGATTCCTGATGACCATCCACCTGGTTTTGTTAACATTTCGACTGACTTTATATACCCAGATTCAGAAAATGTTGCCAAATCCTTGCAAAAGGCAATCTGAAGGATGTGCTCCCACACAAACTGGCAGGAGTACGACCAACAATGTTTCATGAAAGGTCAGATGTGATGCGTTAATCATCAGTAAAGTCTGCTATGAAGAAAAAGCTCCAAGTTGAAGTGAGTAATTGTACATCAGTGGTTCTTGAACTTTTTACCACCACGCCCCCTTTAGGGATTTGTCTCCCCCCCCCTTGCATCTATGAATAAAATTCCCACAAAGATTTTAAAGAAAATTGTAAACATGGTATTGATCACATTATTAAGCTTCTCATTATCTGATCATGCTTCCCTTAAGAGAGTAACAAATACACTTAGAGGGAAGTGCTCTTCTGTGGATTTATCACCTTATCAGAATATAGGAATGTATTGTCAAGACTGCTGACACTTACCTAGTATTTGATAGTCACTATAGTAAGGGCATCCCCTGATACCTCAGTACTACCGAAGATGTCCCTCAGTTACAGAACACAAGGTCCAGCTTTTTAATTTCCGTAAATATATGTCCGACAATCATCATCTACTGTACCGCACAATGGAAGGAGCTACTCGTTATAGGAGCAGAGCCAACACCAATAAAGGCATGTCAGAGCGGAAAGACCAGATCTCCGCAGTACACTCGGGGAAGCCGATTTGATTGTCACTCAAAAGGTTAATCTGGCTGAGACGGAAAGATCATCAACATTATTGCAGATGAGACATGTATTTCTTTTATTGGCTCACTTTTATGTGGAAAGACAGCTTAGTTGTAACTTGGTGATGATAAGTACCAGTGCTATTAGAGCAAGTATCGATATCAAAGCAAATGTGGAGGTACACTGTGACTTCTTTTACCTGTTTATGCTCTTTCAGGATGTGATATAGTAAAGGTACTGCGTTCGAAAAAAAAAAAAAAGAATAAATAAGTAAAATAGAAAATAAAGACAGAAACTCTTAGCAGGTTGGGTAAAATTGAAGAACAAATTCTAAATATAGTTTGTGAAACCTTCGAATGTATTGCTGCTTGTTATTGATTTCACTTTAAGAGAACATGGCATCACTTCGATATGTGGTTTAGTATTGGAAAATGTAAAAGAAGCCGTGTGTGCGCGCGCATGTATTTGCATTCGTGTATGCGTGTGTGTACATTTGTGTAAGTGTGTGTGTATATGTGTATGCGTGTGCGTGCGTGGTTATGCATACGTATATATGGATGTGTATGATTGTGTGTGTGTGTGTGCGTGTGCGTAGGACGGGCGTTACTTAATAAGTCCTGGCTGTACCACAGCTAGTCCTAAATAATACTGGATGAAGCAGTAAAGGTGCTATTTAGCCACAGTGCCATCTTTGTAATTTAGTGTGCTGCCATGCCGTATTTTTTCAGAAAAGAACTGAAACATTTGAATATTTCTGTAAGACACAACACACATTGTAATATTTCAATATCGTTTTTAGCTCTAACTTTTCGAAATGCCACAAAGGGAAGAAGAAGAAGAAGTAAAACAGAATCAAAGAGTGGCATTGCCAGTGACTTGCGACTAACACGGAACGTCAGTTTGTATAAGACATCTTCATTTATTTACTTAGAAAAAAAATCCATTCCGTTCATTTGTGTGGTCTTTTTCTGATACTAAGAGGCACGTAAAGTATATAATATTTATAAATACATACACACAAACACGCACTAGCACATACACGTGCGCACAGAACACACACACATACACGCGCGCACAGAACACACACACATACAAACACACACACACACACACACACACACACACACACACACACACACACACACACACACACACACACACACACACACACACACACACACACACCTCACCCAACGCTCACACCTTACCTCTACCCTTGACTTTATTTTTCAAAGTCAAAGCAGTGTAAGCAAAATGAAAGAAGTTACTGAAACGTGGCGTGCCCTCCCGTAGATTTCCGCGCGAGGACCTTCCCTTCACCAGCTGATCAGACACAAGGCCAGATCCTATTAGCGTGATCTTTGGTTTCCCCTTCTTCCTCCCGCTCTCCTTCTCTTGTTTTAGCTTTCATTTTCTTTTTTTCTTGTTCATTTTTATATTTTTGTTTTGTTTTGTTTTGACTTTTAGTTCGTTAATTTTGTTTTTTTAGTTTTGCGTTGAATTTTAATTTTCTATCTCTTTCTTTCTTTTTTCTTCCTACTTTCTTCATACTGTCTCTCTTTATCTTTCCCCCTTCTCTCTCTTCCTCTGCCTCTGTTTTGTCTACCCTACTTCTCCCCCCCTCTCTTCTTAATTCCCCTCTCTCTCCCTCTTTGTCTCTCCCTCGCTCTTTGTCTCCTCCTTTCTCTCCTTTTTTCTCCACTCCCCCTCTTCCCTTTTCACTTCTGACCGTAAATGGTGACGTTTTTCTTCTTTTCATCGGGAAAACGAGATAAACCTCTCTGCACTTTTGTCCTGATACATGAAAGGAAAAAATACCGAATTGGAAAAGAGGAGAGGGGAAGGGGAGAGTGGAGGTGGAGTAGGAGGAGGAGGAGAAAGAAAGAGGATTAGGAAGGGGGGGAGGAGGAGGAGGAGGAAGGAGAGGGGATGTCGATAGCCATATTGAAAGAGTGAGAGTCTGCGCGCGTGTGTGTACGCTTGCACGTGTGCAAGTTTCTCTGCATGTATGTGTTTGCATACAAAATTGTATAAGTGCGGATATACACCGACACACGTACACGCACACCTACACACACACAGAAACACACACACATCCGTGAACACGCAAACACACACACACACACACACAAACACACACACACACACACACACGCACACACACACACACACACACACACATACACGCACACACACACACGCACACACACACACACACACAGGACACTGGCTGAATTACTTGAACCACCTTGTAGAACGGTAGATTTCTTCACCTAAGGACCTGTGAAATGAAACACCTTTGTGTATTATGTCTAGTTTACTTTGTTCCTTTATGTATCTAGTACCAGGTAGGATTTTCTTCTGTTGCTACTGTGAATCTATAATATACTTAATATACCGAGGTATTTTTAATTCATTTGCATATCTATTTAGCAAATTATTCTATCGTAGGGCCATGGCATATTTGAATGAATGACTGAAAGATTCTTGGTGGCTATATCTATTTACTTTATATTCTCTCTCTCTCTCTCTCTCTCTCTCTCTCTCTTCTCTCTCTCTCTCTCTCTCTCTCTTCTCTCTCTCTCTCTCTCTCTCTCTCTCTCTCTCTATATATATATATATATATATATATATATATATATATATATATATATTTATATGTATGTGTGTGTGTGTGTGTGTGTGTGTGTGTGTGTGTGTGTGTGTGTGTGTGTGTGTGTGTGTGTGTGTCCACATGTATTCATGTGTTGTTGTTGTTTACTATCAGTATATTTACATTTGAAGGTATTGTTTGACCTCGATATTTTAAGCATTCCTAGAACTATCTCTTTGTAAATATGGCAAAGAAATTGAAGAAAATGGTTCAACCTCGTGCATCTCAAATAATCTGTTCAACACACACACATAAACAAGCACGAGAAGACTGACTGCGCCATCATTTTCCTGAAACAGCTGATTAGCACAGTGGTCTTTCCGGAGGACCCGTAACCTCGCATATAATTTTATGATCGACTTCATCATGAAAAGATATATCTTTGGAAGCAGAGAGAGAGAGAGAGAGAGAGAGAGAGAGAGAGAGAGAGAGAGAGAGAGAGAGAGAGAGAGAGAGAGAGAGAGAGAGAGAGAGAGAGAGAGAGAGAGAGAGAGAGAAAATAGAGAGAAAAGAGAGATATACAGAGACAGCGAAAAAAAGAAAAGAAAAAGAAAAAAAAAAATAGCGATAGCCTTAATCACACATAACGAAGAAGGGAAAAAGAACAGAGAATAAAAGAGGAAAGGAGAAGGGAGCAGCGCAGAAGCAACGATGACTAACTAGATGACGCAGCGAGCACCCAAGTCTGAAATTGGAGATTCCGGGTCGAGCGGTTAACTTTCTAGCAAACTACTTAAACTGGAGGCGAAAAATTGATCCTCGATTTTGATAAGATTTTATAGTTCCTGGTGATCCTAAACGGCGGTGATGAAGGGGCGGGGCGAAGGGGAGGGGGGGGGGATCTCAGTTTAGGTACTCCCTCTGAGGATTATATGGGGGGGGGGGATATATAACAAACACACACACCCACACACACTTGTGGTTACACACACGCACGCTTGCGTGCACACACGCATACGCATACAGAAAGAGCAAGAGAGAGAGTGAGATAGATAGATAGATATATCGATAGATAGATATATATAGAGATAGAGAAAGAGAGAGAGAGAGAGAGAAAAAAAGAGAGAGCGAGAGCGAGAGAGAGAGAGGCGCATCCGTATACATTATTTATATCATAATCTCTATCTATCTATCTGTCTATCATCCCATCTACCTATCTCTCAATGTATCTATTCATCCACCTGTACCACTGACCTATTTCACATTATGCTTCGTTCGTTTGTGAAAAGAAAGAGAGAACGTTAGGAGAAAAATGATATAGAAAAGGAAAACACCTCTCCCCGCTTCCACAAATTTGCATGAACAAATAATTTTACACATAAACACACGGGGAATGAATGCAGTATTTTGCATATGAATTCCGAACAGGTGTCGAATCCTTACACACTGCTATAGGTATTCATGTATAACATTCAACTTCATTTTCCGCTTCAGTGCACAGTACAGTACAAAACCGCTCTTTTTGTATAGTTATCTCGTTGCTATAGGTTATCTCATTCGCTTTTCATGCATAAATACAAAGAGGCTTTGTATGGGGTACAGTTAAGTACAGAAATATTTTATCCCCTATTTCCTGGGATATTTTAATCTTCCCTCAATTTACATACCTTTGCTAGCCTTTGGTACAATTTCTTGGTACATTTTATATGCCTGTTTCGTTATACTGCAATTTCGCTGATAATAGGACGTAAACACAGGGACTGACGCAGGTTGTATAAGTACTTTGAGAGTGAACTTGCCAACCATTTTTATCCTGAACTTTTTATGGAGTAATGTTTTTCTTTTCAATCCTGTCTCTATTTCTGATATCCTTCTTTATTGTTTCCTTATCCACCCCGGATTCAAGTATCATGTCGTGTGCTGTCTTTCATCTTTACCTCGGATGATGATTCTTTATAATCTCCTCATTGTGCGTTCTCTCTCTTAATCTCTATTGATGCTTTTGGAAAGTATTCGAAACCACTTCCTCATTTACCTCGGAGTATCAAATCCTTTTGTACGTCCATCCATGCTTTGAAATTTACCCCAAGTGTTTATACACGGGAAGCCCAAAACCCGTAGAGCATAACAGTAGAGCCCCTCGCATGAATTATCACTGAATACCTTCCATTCTCTCCTCGTCTGTGGCTTCTTTGTTCTCCTCTCGCCTTCTGAGATTAACAAGGATGGAAAGATAACTTCGAGATTAGTCCCTGCGAAGAGAGGGTCACAAAGGAATCGCATAACTGTCACACCCGCAGATTGCAAAGAGGTCAAAGATTAGTTTACTATGGAACGAGTGCGCAAAAGCTTGAAATTTGCGAAGGTTCGTCGGATTATCCTTGGTGCGTCGATCAACATTCGCTTTTGCACAGAGATAAGCCGTCCCTTGTATGTGTGGTATCATCGGTATCTCTATAATCTTTAGTGCATAATATTACTATAGTTAGGAGAGACGGTCAGATACCGTATCTTAATTACTAGGAGTTTTTTTTCGTAATTTTGTTAATTGTAAAACTATCTTTCCATTTTCCTTTCTGTCTATCTATATGTATATCTATCAAGGCATATATAAGGATAGACTGGCAGGCAGATAGACAGATAAATTGAGGTATAAATAGGTAAACAGGTAGAAAAAAGACAAATCGAGCGAGCGAGCGAGCGAGAGAGAGAGAGAGAGAGAGAGAGAGAGAGAGAGAGAGAGAGAGAGAGAGAGAGAGAGAGAGAGAGAGAGAGAGAGAGAGAGAGAGAGAGAGAGAAAGAAATAGATAGACAGAAAGAGAAGAGAGAGAGAGAAAGAGTAGACAGAAAGAGAGAGAGAGAGAGAGAGAGAGACAGACAGGCAGACAGAGGAGTCATCTGCGTGCACATGGCAGTCCTTATATGCAAATGGCTGCCGCGAATATAAAGATGAACAGATTGTCATTATGCTGCCGGATCAAAGGACGGCTATACACTATCAAAGTCTACCTGCGTTCTTTCATCCGGGAACCAGATTGCTCCTGCGCCGTTTTCCCTTCTTCTGCGAGATCAGACGGTTTACTCTGTGCTAATTTCTTAGTCTCTCCCCCTTCCCCCTCTTCTTCACTTTTTTTATCTTCTCCCTCTCCTCTATTCCCTTCCTTCTCTTCTCTCGGTCCGTTCCTATCTTCTCTCTCGTGTCCTGTTCTTAACTTTTCTCCGTTCTTCAATTCTTACTTTCTCTCCTTTCTACCATTCTTACATTCTCTCCCTTCTCCCTTTTCCCCCATCTTCTCTAATCCTTTCCATCTCCCCCCTCCCCATCCTCACCTGCCCTCCCACCTCCTCCTCCTTTCCCCTCCTTGCCTTCTTCCTTCGCCCCTTCCTCCCCCTCTTCCTTCCCCCCCTCCCTCCACCTCCCCCTTTTCCCATCCTTCCACCCCTTCCTCCTTTCCTTCACCCCCTCTTCCTTCGCCCCTTCCTCCCCTCTTCTTCCCTCCTCCCCCAACTCCCTTCCCTCCACCTCCTCCCATCTTTCCACCCCTCTTCCTCCCTTTCCCTTCCACCTCCTCTCCTTTGCCCCCTCCCCCCCCTAACCCCTACCCTCTCCTCCTAACTCTTCAGAAACAGAGAAATGATGCGATTGGCCCAAAGAACCCTATTTGCAACGATTCTTTCAACTTTGCAATAATCCTTCTAACTTCTCTTGTGACTGAAGACTACTCTCTCTCTCCTCCTCCCTCTCTCTCTTTTCTCTCTCCTCTC